ATATATATATATATGTATGTGTGTGTGTGTGTGTGTGTGTGTGTGTGTGTGTGTGTGTGTGTGTGTGTGTGTGTGTGTGTGTGTGTGTGTGTGTGTGTGGTGTGTGTGTGTGTGTGTGTGTGTGTGTGTGTGTGTGTGTGTGTGTGTGTGTGTGTGTGTGTGTGTGTGTGTGTGTGTGTGTGTGTGTGTGTGTGTGTGTCTCTCTCTCTCTCTCTCTCTCTCTCTCTCTCTCTCTCTCTCTCTCTCTCTCTCTTCTCTCTCTCTCTCTCTCTCTCTCTCTCTATGTGTGTGTGTGTGTATCTGTGTGTGTGTGTGTCTGTACGTGTGTCTTTGATTGTGTGTCTGTGTGCATCTGTGATTGAATGTGCATGTCCATTGCTTCCATTTCTTCTTCTGTGAATTTTATTAGGAACAAGCCAGATAGGACAGGTGCATTATTACCAAACTAAAAGGCTATTAAGAAAAAGACTCTTTTCAGTCACGACAAGTTTCACTCTCATCAAAGGTTTTTTAATACTGTGAGTTACATATAAGTGAATCAATCTGAACTAATCTTCGTCTGTGAAGTAAAAAAAAACATCTTTAAAAAGGCATTATGAATAACCATACTAATGCCAGTTTTATACATTTCCTGCATATATCTACTTACAAATCAGCAAAATATACTCGAAAAATACTTGCAAAATGCTTACTTGAATCCAACAATGTGTTTGCATAAGCTTGTGGTCGAAACTGAGCTTGCATGCTGTCGTCACATTTTCATAATGCTTGCAAACTGTACATGTTATAATTGCACTTGTATATCAAAGCTTTCTGGTGCAAAGAGTTATATAAGGACATATGCAAATTTAGCCATGAATATGATAATGGTGATAATGATAATAATAATAATAGTAATAATAACAATAATAATGATGTTAACAATAATAATAATAATAATAATAAATAATATAATAATAATAATAATAATAATAATAATAACAATAATAACAATTATAACAATAACAACAATAATATAATAGTATAATAATAATGAAAAAATAACAAACAACAATAATAATAATAATAATAATAATAATAATAATAATAATAATAATAATTATTATTATTATTATTAATATTAATTATTTTATTATTATTATTATTATTATTATTATTTATTATTATTATTATTATATTATTATTATTATTTTATTATTATTATTATTATTATCATTATCATTATTATTATTATTATTATTATTTATTATTATTATTATTATTATTATTATTATTATTATTATTATTATTATTATTATTATTATTATTATTATTATTATATATAATAATAATTAATAATAATAATAATAATAATAATAATAATATATAATAATAATAATAATAATAATATAATAATAACATAATAATAATAACAATATAATGATGATAATAAAATGATATAATAATAAAATATAATAATATAATAATAATAATAATAATAATAATATAATAATCATAATAATAATCAATAAAATAATAATAATATAATAATAATAATATAATATAATAATAATGAATAATAACAATAATAAAATACTTATAATAACAACAATAATAACAATACTTATAATAACAATGATAATAATAATAACAATAATAACAAAATAATAATTATAATAACAATAACAAAGTAATAAAAATAGTAATAACAATTGCATTAGTAAAAGTAACAACAATAGTAAAAGTAATAACAACAGTAGTAAGAGTAATAGAGAAACAGCTGTAGCAGTAATAGTAGCATAAGGAAGATAAGGAGGAGGAGGAGGAGGAGGAGGAGGAGGAGGAGGAGGAGGAGGAGAGAGGAGAGGAGGAGGAGGAGGAGGAGGAGGAGGAGGAGGAGGAGGAAGGAGGAGGAGGAGGAGGAGGAGGAGGAGGAGGAGGAAGGAGGAGGAGGAGGAGGGAGGAGGAGGAGGAGGAGGAGGAGGAGGAGAGGAGGAGGAGGAGGAGGAGAGGAGGAGGAGGAGGAGAGGATAGGGAAGAGGAGGAGGAGGAGGAGGAGGAGGAAGAGGGAGGAAGAGGAGGAGGAGAAGGAGTAGGAAGAGAAGTAGGAAGGAGGAGGAGGAGGAGGAGAAATAGGAGGAGGAGGAGGAAGAGGAAGAAGAGTAGAACAATAAAAAAAAATAGTATCAACAGTTGTTAAAATAGCAGTGGTAGTGGTGGTGTTGGTGGTAGTAATAGTAGTAGTAGTAGTAATAATATTAGTAGAAGTAGTAGTTGTAGTCGTCATCATCCTTATCATCATCATTGTAGTAGTAGTAGTAAAGTAGTAGTAATAGTATTAGTAGAAGCAATAGTAGTAGTAGTAGTAGTAGTAGTAGTAGTAGTAGTAGTAGTAGTAGTAGTAGTAGTAGTAGTAGTAGTAGTAGTAGTCATTATCATCCTATTGTCATCATAGTAGTAGTAGTAGTAGCTGTAGCAGTAGCAGTAATAGTAGTAATAGTAGTAGTAATAGTAGTAGTAGCAGTAGTAGTATTAGTAATAAAAGTATTAGTAAAAGTAGTAATAGTCACAGTAGTAGTCATCATTGTCATAGTAGTAGTAGTAATCATCATCATAGTAGTAGTAGTAGCAGTAGTAGTAGTAGCAGTAGTAGTAGTAGTAGTAATAGTAGTAGTAGTAGTAGTAGTAGTAGTAGTAGTAGTAGTAGTAGTAGTAGTAGTAGTAGTAGTAGTAGTAGTAGTAGTAGTAGTAGTAGTAGTAGTAGTAGTAGTAGTAGTAGTAGTAGTAGTAGTAGTAGTAGTAGTAGTTGTAGTTGTAGTAGTTGTAGTAGTAGAAGAAGTAGTAGTAGAAGAAGTAGTAGTAGTTGTAGTCATTATTAGTAGTGGTAATAGTATTAAGGTAATAACAACAGCAGTAATAAAGATAGTTGTAGTACTACTACTGGCAGAAGAAGATATAGCAGTAAGTTTTGTTGTAAAAACATTAAAATTATTAGAAAAAAAATGGAATGGAGGGAGAAATAGTCACATATTTAAGTATTCCTTTATATCAGTTGCCAATGCTCAGATATGTAGGAAAAGGTATGAAAGAGAATTAATGCCTTCACCATGAAAGACATGCATTTGACTGGTTTCTCCTATATCATATCTTTATTATATGTATTCATGCATTTCTGATGAAGATATAGTTCTCATTCACACCTTTTTTCTACATCTGTGATAATGAACACTGTTCAATGCTCAGCTGCGTAAAGATTTTTGTTTTCTTTAAAACATCATCAGGTTTTTAATTCATCAATTTCATTGTCCAAAAAAGTAAATCAACAAGATTTGTAGAATACCTATAATTTCTGACAAACTGTTAATTCTTCTAAAGTCTGATAAAATCTATTCCACTCCCTTTCACAATGTAATTTCAAAAAAGAAATTTGAAAAGTAAAGAAGAGACAAAGAAAATAAATTCTTTACCAGAAACACCACTAGTAGCAACAATAAGCATTTAACCCCTCAAGGACATCAAAGTTCAGTCTATTTTACAACAAAATTATTTCCCCTGAAATCCGTATATATTTCAAATAAAGACAATTTGGATTCTTTTTAGGGGATGACTTCCACATTTTGTCCAATATTTACATACACCTAAGAATGGCAACTGCAATATTTCAACCTTTAGGGGTTATGCAATTTATTTGTCAGTAGAAGTATTCATTAGCAAGTAGCAGTAACATCTAAATGATATTCCTTCTCATTCTTTCTCAATCACTGTGATCTTTTATATATTCATTCAATTGCTCTTCAGCAAAATTTACAATAAGAATATTGATAAAGTTTACAACCACTATTATCTATTCAAATTTCAATTTTTTGCCATGAGTTTCCTCTGAGAGTCTCTTTCCTCGAATCACCAAAACTTAATTTCCTACAAAACAAAAAAATAACATAAATAAAAGGAAGTTCATACTTTGTGCCTTAATTTGTGACATTCAAGAAGCTAGTAAATTCTGGCAATTCTTAATGACATTCTATGCGACCATGAAGCTCTGAAGCATCACAAATCCTGCTGCCGCCTTAATCTTAGCTTAAAAGTTAGGGTGATATCACTGTGCCATTCATAAAACATAAACAACTAAACATAAATGAGAAAATCATAATAACAAATGGAATGAATACATAACAAGGTCAATGAATATGAATAAAAACACAAAAAAAGAAACAAAAAAGGTCACACAAAGAGCATCAAAGGCAATTTCTATTTATCAATTTATAATTTACCTGAATAGAAAAAATTGCAACACGAGTTATTATTGATGCTGTTGTCTGCCGTGTCTAATATTGTGGAAGCCCAATGCCACACAGTAGCATCTGCAGCGGAAATTTTGAGATTCTTGTTCAACTTGAGGGAAATTCTGTGGCCGTGGCCTTTCTTATATTAAGAATTATACTCTAAACTAATGAATGCTTAAAAGTATCATTTGATTATGGATAATTGTCTTGTAGATCCCATTTGTTCAAAATATTATTCTCAGATATTCTACTTTTATATTAATTTTTTTCTATTCTTATTTAATTTTTTTTTAGCCTTTATATAATCTTTTAATATATGCTCTTGAACTAGGTCTCTTTTATCTATTTGAAAAAAATCATATCCATTTGAAATTACGACAACATCAATAAATCGTACCCTGAGAAAAGGAAGCATGCTAAAACACTATTTACACAAGTTTTCTCTTTAAATCTTAGATCATAAACACTTTCTTTTTAAAAATAACTCAATTCCAACACTGAACTCAGTCAACTAAAATGTATTTCAAATTTGCTTCAGTAATATTGTGTTCTTGCAAAATACAAACAGAAGTTTCACATTCTGTTGTGCTTTACAACTCTCATACACTGCAATCTACAGGTAAAAGCAACAATGCCACACTCACCTTCCCTGTAAACTGTAATTTTGCCATCATCATGACCCACCACAAGCCTCCCAGGGACAGTGGGATGCCAGCGGTATGTAATGATGGGGCTGGAGTAACCATAATCCTCAAAGTACTGGTACGGTTCACTGTTATCTGCGTACGACCATAGCTGAACAGGTCCAATTTGGGTGGAGAAGGAGAGAAGGTCTCTGGAAGTGGGTCATCTAAATGTGAAAACTGTCCTTCTTACTTGCATACTTTCATAAATATATATATATATATATATATATATATATATATATATATATATATATATATTATATATATATATATATATATATATATATATATATATATATATATATATATATATATATATATATATACATATACATATACATATACATACATATATATTATATGTATATACATATATATACATATATATATAAATATGAGCATAAATATATATATATGAGCATAAATATATATATATATATATATATATATATATATATATATATATATATATATATATATATATATATATATATATATATATATATATATATATATATATATATATATATATATATATATATATATATATATATATATATATATATATATATATATATATATATATATTATATATATATATATATATATAATATATATATATATATATATATATATATATATATATATATATATATATATATATAATATATATATATATATATATATATATATATATATATATATATATATATATATATATATATATATATATATATATATATATATATATATATATATATATATATATATATATATATATATAGAATTAATAGTTTCTTCTTCCATGTGCAATACATGATTTGAAAATATACTCAACTTCTAGCCACCTGTGAGTATTTCACACATAATGAGGAATAAGAATAATACTGCAAACCCTTATTACAGCTCCAATTTCAGCCATTACTAAAAGATTCATAACAGCATTACTACTGTTCATAATAAATACAATGTTACAATGAGTTCATCTGGGTATAGATTGTACTTAGTCACTAACACTAACCTGTGACCAACACACCATGCCACCACAGTTGGTACTCTGCAGATGCTTATGGTACAAAGCACACTCTGACTGCTGACACTCCATACACACACACGCTGGTCTAATGAAGCACTGTAAACCATAAAAAGAGTTTTTTTAAATATTTTGAAACCTAAATTTTAGATCTTTTGGCTTGATCTAGCATCATGGATCATGTAGAAACATAAGAAGAGGTGCAGTATTTGAAATTGAACTTTTGTACCTGGCAAGTAGGTCTTCATTTGTGGGGTGCCAGTCAAGGCACGTGATTGTCTTGCGATGATTTGCCAAGATGCTAAACAGCTGCCAGTCACTGCTGCCCTCCTCCACCTGTAAGGACAAGCTTGGGTTAGCAATCATGGAAATGTAGATACACCACAAATATTCTTGGATTTCCAATTTGCCAATAAAAACAAATATCACAAAATGATGATTGAAAAATATTACTGACACTTTAGTTATGCACTATCCATATCTCTGAAGCATCTTGGACCACCATTGATACTAGTGCTTTGCTGAAACAGGTATTATATAGGGCACTACACCATCAGTTACCAGACAACTAATGGCCTACCTGTGCATGACTTCAAAACAAGTCACAATTTCTACAGATTAATCAACAGGAAGAAGTCTGCTTGATCTCTATTCAATCAAATGCTCACACTCACCTCGTACACATATATAGCAAGTGTTGCAGCATAAGCAAAGCGCCTCCCATGTGCAGTGCAAATATTATGGTGCCACGGCTGGGCGCCTGCTGCCAGGAGTGCCAACTGTTGCAACATCCCGCCCCTGAGGCAAAAAAAAAGGTCAGGACAAATTACAAGATCTACATACTATACTAGAAATCTCTTACATGTTTTATTTTCTTTACCATGTATGTTCTTTCCCTATAAAATTGGTTCTTAACCTTGGGTATCAAGTTAAGAGAAGTATCAGCCCAGTGGCAAATTCTTTGGGTAGCCTAAGTGTTGTAGTATATATGATTTCAGAGAATTCTTAGCTTTTAATGCAGAAGGAATTTTTAATCCTTTGGTTGAGGATGTGAAGGCATGTGGAGGTAAGTACGTCTGCTGGAGGGTCTGTGGTGCTAAGAAAAGTTTGAGAACTCCTGCTTTGTAATAATATAAATATAATTAATAAACAGTGTAAAACGGCAATCACTGACTTTACTGGAAAATATTTAGAACAATTTAAACACATCATAAATTATGTAACTAAGAAGTAAAACTCACCCAGTCACAGTGTCAGTCCCTCCGAGAGATGGCGAGCATCTTAAGCCACGGGACGAAAGACCTCCTGTGGGGTCAGCCGAGGTCTTTAGCCCTCCTGCCAACAAGCAGTGGCTGCCGGCACTACGCAAGTAATTTGCATTGCCATGGATGTTCCAAGCATCACTGTTGTCCCTATGTATGTGAGAGTGCAAGAAATATGATATATACCATGTTTACAAAATCTGATTCATTTCTATACAACCTAAATACACAAACCTCCCTCCATCAGAATGTACCAT